AGTGTGTGTGGTGGGTGTGTGATGTGAGATGGGTGGGGGTGTGTGGGTGGGGTGGGTGGTTGGGGGTTGTGGGTGGGGGGGTGGGTGGGTGGGTATATATCTATCTATTATTATATATATATATACTATAGATATATGTGTGCTGTGTGTGGGTGTGTGTGTGTGTGTGTGTGTTGTGTGTGTGGTATGTTATAATGTATGTATGTATGTTGTATGACTGTATGTATGTGGTCTGTGTTGTGTGTGGGTTCGGGGGGGGTGGGGTTGTGTGGTGTGTAGTGTGTGTGTGGGGGGGGGGGGGGGGGGGGGTGTGTGTGTGTGTGTGTGGTGTGTGTTGTGTGTGTGTTGTGGTTGGGGGTGTGTGGTGTGTGTGTGTTGGTGGTGGGTGTGGTGTGTGTGGTTGGGGGTGTTTAGTGTGTTTTGTGGTTGTGTGGTGTGTATGTGTGAGTGTATGTGTATGGTGTGTGTATGTGTATGTGTGTGTGTATGTGTTGTGTGTGTGTGTGTTGTGTATTTGTGTGTGGTGTTTGTGTGTGTGTATTTGTGTGTGTATGTGTGTGTGTATGTGTGTGTGTGTGTGTGTCATGTGTGTGTGTGTGTGTAGTGGGTGTGTGTGTGTATGTGGGTGTGTGTGTGTGTGTGTGGTGTGGTTTTGTGTGTGTGTGTGTGTGTGGTCGTGTATGTGTGTGTGTGTTTATGTGTGTGTGTGTGTATGTGTGGGTAATGTTTGTGTGTGTGAGTGTGTGTGTGTGTGTGGGTGTGTGTGTGTGTGTGTGTGTGGGTGTGTATGAGTGGGTATGTGTGGATAGGTGGTGTGTGTGTGTGTGTGGTGTGTGTGTGTGTGTGTGTTTGGGTGTGTGTGTATGTGTGTATGTATGTGTGAGTGTATATTGTGTGTGTCATATTTTGTGTGTTGTATATGTGTGTGTGTGTGTGTGTGTGGTGGTATTTGTGTGTGTATGTGAGTTGTGTGTGGTATGTGTGTGGTGTGTGTATGTGTGTGGATGTGTGTGTGTGTGTCTGTGGAGTGGTATGTGAGTGTGTGTGTGTGTGTGTGTGTGTCTGTGTGTGTATGTGTGTGTATTTGTATGTGTGTCGTGTATGTGTGTGTATGTGTGTGTGTGTGTATGTGTGTGTGTATTTGTATGTGGGTGTGTATGTGTATGTGTGTGTGTATGTGTAATGTGTGTGTGTATTTGTCTTTGTTGAGATATGTGTGTTATACTTATATATATACATATATATATACATATATATTTTTTATATATATATATATTTATATTTTTTTATATATTTTTTATATTATAGATTATATACATTATATATATATACTTTATATATATATTAATTTTATATGTTTATACATTTTATTTATTATATACATTATTATATATATATTTATTACTTCATTATATATATATATACATTATATATAGTATACATTATATATTTTATGTAATTTATTTATATTGGTACCATTATAATATTTATTTATATCTTCTAGATATATATATATATTTATTTTTTATTTACAGTATATATATATTTATCTTATATTAATTGTTATATATTCATTATATATATTTTTCATTTTATTTTTATATACATTATTTATAATATATACATTTGATATATATATTTATACTATTTAGATATATTTATATATATATATATATATACATTATGTATATTTATTTTTTATTTATGTTTTTATTTATTTATATATTTATTGATTTATTTTTTTATATCTGCTATACATATACTATCTATATATTATTACATATATTTATATACATATTTTATAATATATATATATATTTTTATGTGTATTCTATATATATATATTATATATATTTTTATATATATATATTTATATATTACAGATATTAATTATACATTTACCTTATTCTTATATATATAACATAGATATTTTTATTTATATAATTTAATATATTTATATTTTTATATATTTTATATATATATATTATTTTTTTCTGATATACATATACTTATTCATTTTCTTATACATTATATATTAACATAATATATAGATATATATTTATATATTTTATTTTATTATATATATATTTGTTTATATATATTATTTTTATGTATTTATATGTATATTTTTATATATTTTATATTTTGTGTTTTATTATTTTGGGTTTGTATTATTTATGTAGGTTGTTTGTTGTATTCTATTTTGTTGTATGTATGGTATTTTTGTTTGTTTGTATCGTATTATGTACTCCTCACATCAATCACTCACACAACTCATTTTTATATATATAGATTTATATATATATATATTTATTTAGTTGATATATTTGTTTTTTTTTATATACATACAATACAGTCATTACATAACATACATATACATATTTATATATATATTTTTTTGTGTGTGTGTGGGGTATATATATATATATATTATATATATATTGATATTTTTATATTTATATATATATTTATTATATATGTGTGTGTGTGTGTGTAATAT